TTCATACCCTGCCAGCTAATGAATAATCAGACGTCTTTTCTCCGCCACAAAAATGATACCAGCTACCTGTTTTAGCATTTACAACTTGCATCCTATCCCAGCCTCCAGTCTTTTAAGTCCCCTCTTCTTCAATAGCATGCAACATTAAAAATAATCTCAGTGGGAAAACGGAGAGAACGTAAATATGCAGCACTGACTACAGATGAGTGTACATTAAAATATTCTTAACACGGACTTCTTAGGAAATGCCCGTCAGCTTAACCATCTAGGGGAGTTAAATTGGAGTGTTTCATTAATTGGAACTGTTAGTTTATTGCTAACCTGGCAAGAATCCCAACTGGTATTTGCCACAAAGAAGCCTCATTCAGTAGACCTGCCCTTGAAGCCTACTGCTCTTAAAGCTTTTTCATTGAGATCCACAGTGAGAGAGAAATATTGTATCTCAACCCAGTACATACACACATTTTCATGTGTGTGTGTATATACACTCAAACGTAAGATTAGAGTTTCTTGTATCAGTACTTACCCTTACTATGTGAGGTGCATGTATTCTTTCTAAAAGTGATTTTCTAAAAATATATTCCTGTCCATTAAATTGATTTCATAACCCACCAACGGGGCACAACATACAGTTTGGAAAATACTGCAAAACACTGCAGCCCCCACCTCCACCTCTGGGTCCCCCAGCTCAGAAAACAACTTCAGAATTATGCCTCAAAACAAGCAAGTTTTTTTATAAAGCTATCAATCACGGCTTTATTTCTTGGTGAGCTCTATTCACTGATTTTAATGCTGGTTTAAGTAGAATGTGGTTATGATAGAAAATCCATTATCCAAATGATTATATTCTGCTTTTCAAAGCCAGATACAAGCAGTTGGATTTTTTCATGCTATACATTTTCATATTAGCATGTGTTATTGGGAGTTAATTGAATTGTAGGGTTTTTTGGGTGCGTGTACGAGAGTATACATCCCATAATGCTGTATAAGGTTATAAAGGAAAAGGAGTTTGTTGTGTCATGCACAAACAACACCTCATAAAAATTCTGTAAACAAAGATTTCAAAATGTATGTTATACACAGTATATAGATGAGGTAACTTGTCAGATTTTTTTTTCTTTTTTAGTGTGAATATCTGGTATGTTAGCCAATATTTTGACAAATGATAGGAACAGAATTGAGTTCTGTGAATAAGTTTCAGAGGGATTTCATTTCAGGGCCGTGAGAGAACTCGCTTTAAGATTGGCCAGTGCTTATTTTCCTAAGGGGACAGCTGTAGGAGACCCACTCACTATTTGTATGAATAAGAGTAAGGAAAATGTGTGTACCCTTTGAGTAATTCTCATTTGGGCAGGCTGCAAAAAGGGTAAAAGCAGGTATCAGACAATAACTGTAATAATGCAGAATAAAAACCATCTCAACCTAGCTATAACTCAAATAAGACTTTGCCCTTTTGAAATTTCAGATGTGTCAGGATACAGAAGTAGAAATGAATCTTCCTTTCCTTTCCTTTCCTTTCCTTTCCTTTCCTTTCCTTTCCTTTCCTTTCCTTTCCTTTCCTTTCCTTTCCTTTCCTTTCCTTTCCTTTCCTTTCCTTTCCTTTCCTTTCCTTTCCTGTCCTGTCCTGTCCTGTCCTGTCCTGTCCTGTCCTGTCCTGTCTCGCTCTGTCACCCTGGGTAGAGTGCAGTGGCATCATCATACGTAGCTCACAGCAACCTCAAACTCCTGGGCGCAAGCGATCCTCCTGCCTCAGCCTCCAGAGTAGCTGGGATGGCAGGCGTGCTCTGCGACACCCAGCTAGTTTTTCTATCTTCAGTAGAGACAGGTTCTCACTCTTACTCAGGCTGATCTTGAACTCTTGAGCTCAAGCAATCTTGCTCCCTCCTTGGCCTCTCAGAGTGCCAGGATTAGAGGCGTGAGGCCTGGCCCCAAATTTTTCTTTAAAATAAAATTCCTAAATTGGTAATATCCCCTGGGATTATTTTAAAAATCCTTTTTGGGATTATATAAGTAAAAATACTTATAAGAAGACTGGCAATTAAGGGAAAAGATGAAAAAGCAAGAAATTTCATATCCAAGCTACCATTGTTAATATTTTGGGCACATTTCCTGGGCAAATATTTGGGCAAAGTCTTTTTCTATGTATATTTTTACATAATTGAGATAATTTATTTTGACCGTCCCCTCAATTATTTCTCCATGCAGTTAAAAACTCTCCACAAGGCCGGGTGCGGTGGCTCACACCTGTAATCCTAGCACTCTGGGAGGCCAAGGCGGGCGGATTGCTCAAAGTCAGGAGTTCGAAACCATCCCGAGCAAGAGTGAGACCCCGTCTCTACTATAAATGGAAAGAAATTAATTGGCCAACTAATATATATAGAAAAAATTAGCCAGGCATGGTGGCGCATGCCTGTAGTCCCAGCTACTCGGGAGGCTGAGGCAGGAGGATCGCTTGAGCCCAGGAGTTTGAGGTTGCTGTGAGCTAGGCTGATGCCATGGCACTCACTCTAGCCTGGGCAACAAAGTGAGACTCTGTCTCAAAAACAAAAAAAACAAAAAAACTCTCCACAAATACATATTTAATGAGTTTGTAGTATGTCACCATAGAGATGTGGCAGACATTTTAGACATTTCTCTGATTCTGGATGAGTAAGTTTCAGTGCGTTTTTCAGCTATATGAAGACCACTGTGACGAACACTTCTGTGCCTACGTCTCACCTGTAATCCTGATAGTTTCCTTAGGGTAGATTCACAGAAACGGAATCACCTGTCATGCCTTCATTTCCATCTACTGTGTGGTCTCCTCTCTATTACAGCCAACTTCTCTGAAGTTCTCTATGTGAACTGTCCCTGTTTCCTACCTACACCCTGGCTTCAACAGGGCTTTTGTGTTTATTATGGGATGGACACTACAGTCCTTGATGTGATCTTCAAGGCCCAACGTGGACCTGCCTCTCCAAACCCCCTTCTCTGGCCTCAGTCGCACTGGCTCTAACTCACTGGCTCCTCACCCCTCCCCAGCCCCAGGGCTTGCCAGACTGGGTGTCCTCTCTGGGCTAGTGTCCCTCCCCACACCTGTCTTCCTTTTGTGGAATAAGAAGTGAGATATCTGCTTAGAAGAGGTGGGTGGAGGTTTGAGGAAAAGTGAAGGTATCGAAAATTCATTTAGGAGAGAGAGAAAGAAATTGACCAGACAGGTCCACGATGGATTTCCAGATAACAAGGCCCACTTTCATGGTATATTCAGAGTTTGGATTATGAGATGCACATCAAGAGAAATGGAATTGGCATGCAGAGCTGGGATCACCTTTAGCTTCTGGTAAAAAATGCTCACTTAATCTGAGTCAGCCTGGTGAGTTCAGTAGCTGCTTCCTAATGTTTGTTTTCTACAGTTCTCTGGCGGTGTCCTGCCTCTTCTTTGCTAATGCAATTTATACGGATGAGAGCACGTTTTGTTATTAGTATTAGTGGAGGATTTCACGAATAAGAACTTTTGGGATCACTGGAAGCCTTGATGTGAAAAATCTTCATTTCTGGGTTTCTTTGGAAATTGGCAGGCCCTGTCCAACACAATTCCTACTAGTTACATGTGGCTATTTAAATGTAAACTAATCGATGTTTGAATAAAACTGGAAATATAATTTCTTAATCATAGTAACTATATTTCAGTAGCCACATGAGGCTGGTGGTCACCATATTGGACAGTGGAGACAGAACATTTTTATCATTGTAGAAAATTCTTTTGGAATTTTTTCAAAAAGCACTGATCTAGAGAGATAGAAAGAATCCACCTAAGTCATCTCTGAGGCTTACTGCATAGAACAATGATTCAGGAAAAATAAATGGACAATTTTAGCTTGGGCTAGTTTGCTACTGTTTGCGATGCACCAGTTTGCTAGTTCATCTAGCTTTTTTAAAAAAAAATAACAGAGGTTTCGGAGCAACCCCTTAGGAGGCTACTGCAGTGGTCCAGGCGAGAGATGATGGTGGCTTGGTGCAGGGAGGTGGCAGTGGAGATGGAAGGAAGTAGATACCTCCCATTAGAGCTTTAGAAGATGGAATCTAAGGACTTGGTGCCATGTTAGTCAATGGAGAAGCAGGTGAGAACAGTTCCTGAATCCCGGTTGCTCCAGTGGGATGGACCTGGCCACTAAGATAGGTAACCTTGGAAAGGGAAGAAGAAGATGGAATGAGCTTTGGCTATCAGGCAGGCAGTGGGGTGTATGGGCCAGAGGCTCAAGGTGAGAACTGAGCTGGAATTAAATGTGTAGGTCACTGGTACGTAACTGAGGAGGGGAGCTCTGGGCGTGCATGAATTCTCCCAGAGGGAAAGAGCATTAAATGAGGAAAGAAGGATCGGGCAGTGAGGATGCAGCCTGCCCGGGTAGTTGACAACAAGCCAGCCCAGGAGCTGCGGAGAGGTGGGAGGAAAACCAAAAGGTGCTTGAGTGTTATGTCATCGAGGTGGTAAAACTATTAAAAAAAAAAAAAAAAAGGGGGCATCTTTCAATATATCTCTAGAACCGTTTACTCATCGCACCCCAAAATCTATTATGTGGCAGCCATGCGTCTCTAGATCCGAGGCCCTTGTGTAGTTGCTGTAACAAGGTGTATTTATTTGTTCATTTATTGCTGTGACAGATTGCAGAGTGCGTGTGTATGTGTGCATGTGTGTGCGCGCTTGTGTGTGTCTTCTGCCTGGAACAATACCCTCCCCTCCTTTCTCCCACGTCACTGCACTTTTGGCTGCCACTGTGGTTTGTTGCAAATTTGAGCTCATTTAATCCCACGGAGTACTAAACACTATCTGGTCTCAGTGGCTCTGTGGTTCTACTCTGGGCACCCCACCTTCCTTTGCCAGCTGGGCTCTCTTAATGAGCGAGCTGCGCACAGTTCCATTGTAAAATGTTTTTAGCTGGTGAATTATGTTTGAAGAACTCGCTGTTGGGGTGTTGCACGTTAGGCCTGCTTCCATTCTCTCTCTGGCCTTCTCTTTTCAGGATGGCTGTAGCCCCTCCAAGTTACTGTTTTGTGGCGTTCCCACCACGTGCTAAGGACGGTCTGGTGGTATTTGGGAAAAATTCAGCCCGGCCCAGAGATGAAGTGCAGGAGGTTGTGTATTTCTCTGCTGCTGATCATGAACCAGAGAGCAAGGTTGAGGTAAGTCGTGCATTGCAGTCTCTCTTGAGTCATGCCAACTCTCTCTTTCTGGCTTTGCCACCAGCACACTGTAACTTCTTTCTTGAAAGCCTACTAGTGACAAATGTCACGTTGGTTCTGCTGATTCCCGTTTCCATTCAGATTTGCTCATAGCCTTAAAAACAAAGTCACGTGGAGAATTCTATGTACACTGCTATGGCCCTTGTTTTATGATTAAGTAAAACATTTACACGGTTCTAAAGTCAAATCTGAAAAAAAACCAGGATATATTCATAGAAGTCTAGCTTTTATCCTTGTCTTTCCTAGTCCATTTCCTTTTTCTCTATAGGTAATTATGTTCTGGAAGATTTTTTGGTTTATCCTTCCATTTAAAAAATTATGTCTATGTAAAATAAATCACACACACACACACACACACACACACACACACGCGCGCGCGCAAATTTGTCCTGGTTCCTTTCCTCTTTTCTTAGATTAATAGCAGCATGTCATGCACACTTTTCTCTACTTTGCACTTTTCAACTAAAAACATATCTTGAAGATCACTCTATACAGTACACACAGGTAGTTTTCATACCTCATTTAGAGCTGTGTAGTGCCTCATTCTATGGATGTACCACAGTTTAATCAGTCCCATATTGCTGCTGGACATTTGGGTTGTTTTCCAGTCTTTTGCTATTACAAATATTGCTGAAATGAATAATAGCCGTATATATCTGTCACAGAATCTGGTTTTGGTTTATATATTTTTATCATGTTAAAAATTATCAGTAAATTCCTATTCTGAGTACTTTCAAAATACTATTTTTTTGTGAGCATTTCTTTGGGATAGATGCCTAGAAATGGAATAGCTGGGTCACAAGGTGAACAAATATCTAATTTTGTTAGATATTGTTACATTTCCTTCCATAGGTGGGATACCATTTGCATTCTCATCAGCACCATATGATAATGCCTATTTCTCTGTATTCCCAGAATGTGTTGTTAAACTTTCATGATGACTATTTTGTGTTAATTTTACATTCTTTTATTTTACTAAATTCTTTTCTTGGTTATGTCAGCTTTTATCATTGATCCCCTTGTGGTTTCCGGGTACATTGTTATGTAACCTGCAAATAGAGATGGTTTTATTGTTCATACATCTATAATTATTTTCTTGTCTGATTGCTTTGGCTTTTTTTTTTTTTTTTTTTGAGGCTGAGTCTTGCTTTGTTGCCCAGGCTAGAGTGAATGCCATGGCATTAGCCTAGCTCACAGCAACCTCAAACTCCTGGGCTCAAGCAATCCTTCTGCCTCAGCCTCCCAAGTAGCTGGGACTACAGGCATGCGCCACCATGCCCGGCTAATTTTTTTCATATGTATTAGTTGGCCAATTAATTTCTTTCTATTTATAGTGGAGACGGGGGTCTCACCAGGCTGGTTTCAAACTCCTGACCTCAAGCAATCCACCTGCCTCCGCCTCCCAGAGTGCTAGGCGTGCAGGCGTGAGCCACCTCGCCCGGCCTGCTTTGGCTTTTATCTTGGATTCTATTTTAAATAGTAGTGGAGATGGTGGATATCTCTGCCTTTGTGCCTGAACCAAATGGGGCTGCCTCTAGTGCTTCCCCATTAAGTAAGATGCTGGCTTTGGGGCTGTGATTTATATAGTTTTATCATGTTAAAAAGTATACATAAGTTGGGTGCAGTGGCATGTGCCTGTAGTCTCAGCTACTCGGGAGGCTGAGGCAGGAGGATCACTTGAGCCCAGAAGCTCCAGGCCAGCCTGAGCAACATAGTAAGATCCTTTCTCTAAACAAACAAAAAAAGTATACACGAGTTTTTATTTTGAATGTTTAAAAAACAACAACTAAGATAGGTATTAAATTTTAGGTCCTTTCAGTGATTATAGAGATAATCACCTAATTTTTTATTTCTATTTGTATGGTAAATTGAACCATCTTTGCATCCATGGAATAATAACCTTCTTGGTTTTGGTATATTTATTTAAATCGTGTGTGTCTGTTTAAATGGTAGGTTGTTAAAGGATGAAAGGATGAAGATCTTGGAGAAAAATTGAGTCTGTTAAATGAACAAGCTCTTTCTGCTGACCTATTCTTTGGTGTTCTGTGGTTTGCAAAATAAACCAATTTTCTGATGATCATGCTTGGTTTTAAATGGCTATTCATTAATATGTATTTTATTTTCTTATCTGAATCTTAAATCACTGGCTCTGTTTCAGTCGGTTAAAAGCACTGATCAGCCCCAAAGAGCAGCAGAACTCTGTGAGGAGCTGCTTTATTGCAGATGAATTTAACAAAGGTACCGAGATGAGCAGGCAGGGTTGAGCGTGACCGGACTCGGGCTGTCTGTGGATGGCGCGATGGAAGACTGTTTCCCACAGATCTTTCACCAGAACCACTCGCCTCCCTCTTTGAGCCACTAACTTAGCTCAAGCCCCTCAACTTTAGTGGGACTTGCCTTTTGTATAGGCGAAGAGGAATGCTGGGTTCTCTGGTGGGCATGTTAGGTTTTAAATGAGTATTCATGTATTAGTGAATATCCGTGCCATTTGGAGTGGACTCCATGGATGAAGTTTGCTGGTTTGAGTTGTTACTGACCTTCCCTGTTTGTCTTCCCTGATTATTTCTATCTTTATTCCCCCAAGAGACACACAAACTGAAATAAAACTCTGATTTTTCACGTGGGCAGATTTGAATCCCCAAAGGTCTTAGCATGTGGAGAAGGCACTCCTGCCACGGGAGGGGGAGGGGGAGGTCCGTGCCCTTCTCCCCGCCTGAATCATGGTGACGGCTTATGATTGCCTCGGCCAGTGGAGCATGGTGGAAGTGATGCATGTGACTTCCAGGGCTGGGTCACGAAAGGATGCGGCTTCCACCTGTCGCTCTCTCTCCCGGGACTCTAGCCCTAGGAGCCCAGGCATCCATCACACCGGGAGGAACCCAAACTAGCCAGGTACAGCGACCACAGAGGGCCCACACAGAGAACTCAGGTCCCCCAGCTGCCAACCAGCATCAACTGCCAGACGTGTTGAGTGAGTGATCTTTCCGATGATTTCAGGACCCAAACATTGGTGTTCAGACACACTGTCCCTGCCGTTTGCTGTCCACATAAATCCATGTCCATAAAAAAGGCTGGAGTATTTCATTAAGTAGCCACGGTAACTACAACATCACACAAAGCCATTTCTGAACATGTCTGAAATAAACATTTTAGAAAAGTTTGTCTTCTGTTTTGGAGGGTAGGCTAAATAACTCAATATTTTACTCTGATGGTTATGGTTATTTCAGGAAACAGATGAGATTCCTTTTACTAGTTAGCCCATGTTCTATTATTACTCAAATACACTGTAGGTTAAATCACATTCCCTTTGCATAAATAAGTGCAGTTTGATATATGCCATAATTAGTCTCTAAGGCAGCTCTGACCTCTTTTCTGAGTTCCATACCTGTATTCGGAGCTACCTTTATGCCTTTCTGCATGCATATCCTGTGGGTGACATGACCTCTCAGGTCAAAACCCAAATTTGTTTTCCCCAGCTCATTTGTCCCTGTTGCCATAACAGTGTCATTGTCTGCCACATAGTTTATGCTAGAAACCAGGGGGAAGTGTGACCCTCATTTCCCGCCCATCCCGGATGCAGGGACAGTTGTTCCCAAGTCCTGCTGCTCCTCCCCTGTGTCCCCATCTCCTCCCCACTGTCCCTGTCTCATTCAGACCGACCCTATCTCCCTTCTGCTGTGATATCCCTATTGGTGCCCTGTCTTTTTCTCCAGGATTCTTCTCCCTGCAGGGTTACCAGAATTTTCTTTCCAGAACACAGCTCTGTCACTGCCTTGATGAAAAATGTTTGGTTTTGTTGACGGGATGAGAGTCCAGGCTGATTTGCGTGCCATTCACAACTCTTCCCGACTGGCACCCTGTTCGCTTTCCCTTTTTTTTCTTCTCTTTCTTTGTTTTCTTTTCTATTTTAAATTAAGAGACTATTTTTTTGGAGCAGTTTTATGTTTATGGAAAAATGAACAGAAGGTACAGGAGTTCCCATGTACTCCATCGCCTGCCTCCCAGTTTCACCTATTACTAACCTCTTGCAAAGTGTGTATATTTGTTACAATTGATGGGCCAATATGGGTAACTAAAGTCCATAGTTTACACTCCTTGTGTTGCATATTCTAGGGGTTTTGACAAATGCATAGTGACACGTGTCCATCATTATAGTATCGTAGAGAATATTTTTAATGCCTGAAAAATCCTCTGTGCTTTGCCTATTCACCTTCCCCACCCCCACCCCTGAAAACCACTGATCTTTTTACTGCCTCCATAGTTTGGCCTTTTCTAAAATGTCCTAGACTTGGAATTATACAGTATGTAGCCTTTTCAGACTGACTTATTTTACTCAGTAACTATGCATTTAAGGCCCTTCATTTCTTTTCTAGGCACGGTAAAACATTTATTTTTATAACTGAACAATATTCCATTGTCTGCATGTACCAGTTTATTCATCCATTCACCTACTGAAGGGCGTCTTGGTCGATTCCAAACTTTAGCAATTGTGAATAGAGCTGGTATAAACATTTGTGTGCTGATTTTTATATAGACATAAGTTTTCAACTCATTACACTTTTTAATGTAATTTTACATTTTGAATAGGCAATATATTTATGCAGTTCAGAGATTAAATGATATTAAAAAGCTTCACAGTAAGAAATCTTCCTCCTCACTCATCCATATCTACTCTGATTCCCATCCTATAGAACCCTTTTAATAATTTCTTGCATATTCTTTCAGAGTTCTATGCAAATACAAAGAAATAAGTATCTGGCCTTATTTTCCTTTTTTTTTTTTTTTTTGAGACAGAGTCTCACTTTGTTGCCCAGGCTAGAGTGAGTGCCGTGGCGTCAGCCTAGCTCACAGCAACCTCAAACTCCTGGGCTCAAGCGATCCTCCTGCCTCAGCCTCCCGAGTAGCTGGGACTACAGGCATGCGCCACCATGCCTGGCTAA